ACCCAATGCCCATGATGTTGGGCGTATAAATATAAATGATAACGTTGTTGAGGTTGTTTGTTAGCCAATATTCCCCAGATTTGGTCTTTTATGGTCTTGGGTGGATAATCAATCCCATTTTTATTTAAATATGCTATCATTTTTGTCTTTGTCCAACTGTTTCGAAGAATTTTTTCCTACAATACAATATATACCTATGAAGACTAAATTGACACCTCAAGTCTACTACGATAACTTGCGTAATCTATCACAATAAGTGATAGTTCCCGTAACCAATGTTATCTAGTTGGTTAACAATCTAGGACCAACGTAAAAATCGAGAATCTCTTCCATTACTCGATCGTGCAGCAAATTAATAGTAATGTATTCTACAACTATTTTATAGATAATCTCCCATACTGATATTAAATCTACAGGATTTACTTTTGTCTTTATATGACTAATTCTAGAAGACATATTTTTCTTGTATTCAGAGTCACGTAAACCTGGACTTTTTTGTAGCCCGTAGACAGATCTTTCCGAAATGTTCTGCGGCCAGTTCTGTCTTCCTTTTTTTTCAAATTCCAAAACATCTTGATTTCTATCAAGATATATAAAATTATTTGTCTTGCTTGGAGGTCAAATCGCTTCATTTTTGAATGGGAACAATTTGGCAAATTTCAAAATTTTACATAAGACTCTACGAGCTACTCAAAATTGGGTGACTTTTTGTCTCACACAATGTGCATAAGATAGAAAGAGAAAAACTTTGACTTGGGGTAATTCTACGACTTTACCAATTTTTGAACACGAAATTTCACTGGACAAGGAAAACCAGATTCTTGATTCTTTATCGTTATTTTGTTTAAAATGGCGGAACAGTAACCTATTTAGTAGTTTAGTTTGATCAACATTCAGAACACAAGCCATTGGACAGATCCTTTTCTCATATCAAAATCACGATGTAACAAAATGTTGAAGTATACGTCTGAACCCAATTCATCAATCTTTCCAAATCATGTCGAGCATTATCACCTTCTTCAGGAGTGGATCAAGTCTCCGAACGCAATTCTTATAGTGGCTCATGAAGCGTTGTTATGGCCCTTCAGTGTTACCAGACTCACTTTTGCCAAACTCAACAAATATACAACAAAATCAATATAATTTGTTATCACCATATTCTAGAAAACAAATAAATTGTTTACCTACGTTATTTTATTCGCAAGGCAAAAAAGTGCTTTTTTGATAAATTGTGTTCAATTTTTGAAAACGAGCAATTGACGACGCGACTTGTAGGCGAACTGGCGTAGCCTAAAACACAAATTGTCACACTGGGAATAGAATATTATCGTCTTTCATCCACTCTCAACACTAATAAAAGTTTTTATTCGTTCCGTATCATTACTTTGAAAAATTATTTACATTTACTCGATGTGCTTTTAGTTTTTATTGAGAATCGCGAAAAAACTTTGTTATATGTCCTCAGAGACTTAACATCTGACTAACTGAAGTCGCAAACAAAATTTCTTAGTAACAAAGAAACGTCATCTATCTCAAAATTTTCAAGAGATTTGTATACTATTACTTATAAGCTATACTCAGATGTGTGTTTAACCATGGTTTAGTGTGGTAACAATTCGAACATCATAATGTCATTCTATTTTGACCCTTGTAGTAGCTAAAGCTTCAAAATTCAAAATGTTCACTTTTAAAAGTAAAAAAAAAGTTCTTCCGAGTTAAAGGTAAGGTCTTGCCACGTTGATAATATTAATTTGAAATTTGGGGTTCTTATAATAGCAGGAACTAGTCTATGAATCAATTTAAATGTTTTCTGGAAATACAGTGATAGCCTAGCAACTTTTTAAATTTTGCGTTAACAACAATCAGTGTGAGATTTGCAGGTAAATTACTGCAATGGCAACATAATTAATATAATTTTAAAAATAAATTTCATAAGAGACTAATCGATTTTTTTTTAAATCAACATTGGCACAATTTTTTCTTATGAATCGTACTGCATTGCTCAACTTTTATTCACCCTTTCTAAACAATTCTTTCACTGTTACCAGCGATCATAATTTTTTCATTCGTAGAGTAAACGCCCAGGTTTCATCTAAAAGCTTCGCTCTTTATTATATTCCATCACTTGAGTTTTTTTTAGAAACTTCATTTCTGTTGTTGACATTCGATTTCTGTTCTTTATTTATTAGCTTCCAGCCTTACGATATGTGAATTTTAATTTTTCTTCAATCCAATGGTAGGTACTCGAGTGTATCAGTTTTTGCTGTTGTTAGATTCACTTAAAAAAAATAGGAAACCTTTGTCTTCGTTTCTGTGTAAAACTATGGTAAAAAATAAGTTTAGCTGTTTTCTACTCAAATCTTTTCAGAACTAATAAAAGCATCCAACATGAAATCAAAAAAAATCTCTACACAGCTTATACTTTCTGAATCCATTTTAATATTAATTAATTCAGATAAAATAAAAGCGTAAGTATAATATTTTTTACCCGACAATAAAAGAAATTAACGACATAATAAAATTAACGCCCAATAAAATGTTTGGCGGTCAAACACGCATTTGTGTCACGTATGACAGCCCATATCCCTCTAAAGTGATCACTAGTGAATTCGTTTTACGTAATTAAATATTTATTCAATAAATGTATTACAAAATACTAAGAGCAGAAATTAGTTTTTAATTGTAAAATTATTATAGAATGGGAAAACCAAATGATTCCCATCTCGTAATTGTAGTTTTCTACGTACCACACTTTCTTTTTTATACAATTCGGCCCTCCCTATCTACTTTAACTAATATTCTATTCATGGTCCTGTAATAAAAATAAAATGGAGTATACGTAATAAAAGAAATGTAGTAACTATAAACAAAACGTTATTGCTATTAGTTAGAACCATCAAACACAGAAATTCACACTGTCAGTTCTCTTACTAAAGTTACAGTTTCAATTAATATTGAGGAATTACTTGTAATAGAGGCTAATCCCCAGCAACCTGATGAATTATAGCACAACAGGATTAAATTGCAATGGTGTAATGATGACAACACAAATATTAATTAAACAATTTCGTAACGAACAGTGCATGCCTAAAACGCAGCGTTTCTACCTAAATTAATTAAAATATTTATCCACCTGTGAAAAATTATTTCCGATATGGCAATTACAAAAAATTGTTAAAGTTTCTTGCGCATTTATTATATGTTGGTAAAAACACAACCAATATCCACAATACCTGTATAAAAGCTACCACAGAACAAACAATAAATTGACAAAATATCTTCAAGATAATCAAATAACTGTTCCTTATTCCTAAATCATTTAAGCTCGCTTAAATTAAAAATGTCAGATAAAGTGCAGTCAGTTGTAAAAATAATTGCCTTTGAGAGTCACACGAATTATACTTAAAATTATATAAAATTAAAGTGTACGACGAACATCCATTCTTTAATCTATTCGCATCACTGATATCCGTTTTATTAAATCAAACTGATCGAAAGTAAGACTCTCCAAGTAAAAAATGCAAATCAGCATTCACAATGAAGCGACATTATTTGCTCTCTACCGACGAGCTTGTCGAATATGTGGTATATCCATATTATTTAAACCAAATTTGAGACTGCATTCAATTTTAGTACATTATACACGCTGAAGTTTATGCAAATTCTTAAAATTAATTACAATGTTTTATGTGCTCAAAATTTAGCATACTTAACTACAACCGACTTAAATGGCCATTAAGGTATCAGTGCTATTTCATAGACCTGGCAATTTAATGGGAAGAGAATTCATCACTAACTGATTATCTGGATAGATTAGTCCACCTATATTTTATTTGAAAAAACAGTTTGCTAGTCCTTCATTTAAACAATTATATGAGTGTTCAGAATTTAATACTTCCCTCATCGTATTCCAAGTTCACTTTTTCTTATAAAATTTAACGTTTTAGAAGTGGAAATATTACACAGAAGAGAGCACACTTTGACATATGCTAGCAGTTCCGCAGTAAAAGAATATTATAAAAGAAACCAATTTGTAACATACGCGCCGAAGACCATACGGCCAATTATCCTGTTTTTAACTCAAGTTTGTCAAGAGCAAAAGGCGAAGTGGAAGCATAGGAAATAGGAAAATGTTGATGTAATTATCCTCCCATTCAGAGAACTGCTAAATATTTCTGAAAAAATTGTCTCACTTTTTAATATATAATTTACTCATTCAACACTTGTAGGTATGTATTTAAAAATTATTGGAGAGTGAGACAAATGGTCCACAACCATCTTCATTCCCGTTAATAAGGGCTAATTAGTTATCATTTTGTACGTGTAGCAGTATTATTTTATAACTTCTCTTACAGGAACATGACTCAAACAGCAACTAAATTTTGAAATATTTAAGAATCTTACGTTTTGAAATTTCCACAAAAGTGTTTCGTCAACAACAGTAAAAAATGGAACTAATAAGAATCCATAAAATGATTTGCACATAGCAATAAAGATTTATCTATAATATTTTGCACTCGAGGTCTTGGTAATAATGATGTATGTAACTGCATTGAAAATGAAATCGAATAAATTATTTTTGAGATATTTTGTGAAACGATGCTATTTTTGCAGATTTCGGGAAATTTCAGGGACCATAATAATCAATATTGACCGAAAAAATACTCTGACAATTCTCACAAATTACGCTTTAAAATTAAACAGAAGTTAAAACTCGGACATCCTTTTCAAAGTAATAATTAATAAGAAATCCGCCACGCAAATACGTTGTACGATTTCTACTGCAGCAGACACGCAGACATCATTCATTACTTACCTTGGAATAGAGAACAGAACAACACCGATGACGTCAGAAACTTCATCTTTTACAAAACGTCCTCATTAGCTCAGTCGAGAAATTAAACTGTAATAGTTATGTCTAACAAGGGTACACTAAAATTGGCATAATACCCTGTATTCAAGTCCTTAACCTCATACTAACTCCTGATTTAATATTTCAGCTCCAAACGTGGCCTAGATCTAGGCTTAGGCCGAGGTTTCTCCGGTTCTCAAGCTGCCAAACACCTTATGGGTCTGGCCGCCGCCAACTTTGCCGGAGGTCCAGGCAGAAGACGTCGAAGCGAAGAAGAAGCTTAAATTGGAAAAATTCTCTTCATTCCAACAGTTCCTAATGTTAAATTTAACCCCTCTATCATTTCTGTCGTGTATAGTAGAAGCCCACTCATAGTAGTATTAGATATAGTTAATGTATGATACAAGGAAAATGTGTAATAGCCCTTTTCCCAACCCTCTGTATACTGACGTTTCTGAAAATAAAGCACAGGTCGAAATTAAACCACCTTGATTTTTCAGCGTGTGAACTATTGTTTGTTAGTTAAGAAATGTATTGTACAGCAATTATATTTCATTTAAATAAAGTTTAAAATATCTCTTTGTGGTTTGCTCATCGTCTGCCAATTTTTGAGTCGTCGAAATTTTCTCTAATGGCCTTCGCTAAATTTAGAACGGAAAAAATTGACTTATCGACTCCATAATGACTTAAACTGAGGATTAGCCTTGAGATACTTCGCTTACGAAAAACATCTACTAAACTGGTGTAAAATTACGTATTTATTGATTTTCCAAATTAGCTATCCGCTAATAGACTTCCTCTTATAACTCACTGTAATTAGGTGCGTCTTGTCACAAGACGGTTTTTCAAAATCTTCTAAACAATACATCCAATAAACGAAAATATTTATCGCTGCCATAAAAACATTGTGAACAAGTAATGATTTAAGCGTGCATCCATCACGGTCTTGATCGATGAGCACCATATCGGTTGCAGACCTGAACCTATTCGTCGAATGTTTATATTGTTGCTAAATAAGTTTTGCAAAAATCGCTTCGTAACAAAACAAATTCCGCTTGCTGTCCAGCGGCGAAATTAGAACGGAAAACTATATAGCACACGGTCTGGTCTATTAATAGAGACTCATCGACATCGAAGCGCTTGTAGGTCGAAGCACCTGTTGTCACCATAAAACACTGCGCGCATGAAAAATTTCTGGTGAAAGATATTCACCTTAAAAATTATATTCGAACAGCTACATCCGAATTGTTTAGCGATATTTCAGGTTTATTTACACAAGCTTGCAGTTATGTTTAACATGTGTAAGTCTGAAAACTGTTTATTTTACTTTCTATGTTTTTATAATGCTCTTATAATCAAATATAACAGAATGAATCATCCGACTTTTATACACACAGCATTTTCAAAAACGTAATTAAGGCCAAAACATTTAAATATGCAACCCATTATACTTAATAACACGCTGACAGGTTGTTATTATTATTACTATATACGAGTACTTCAATTCTACTCCACATGAAGATAAACATAACAATATTGGCATTTGAATTACTAATAATTCAAAATTCTACAACAAGGAGATCTGGCATTGGTAATTAAGCCAGCAAAATACTATTCTGAAATGTATTAAAATGATTCGTTGTTACATTACTATGAAAAATGTATGTGTTGCGTAAATTTTTGTGGGCAGTGTATTTATTAAAGCAAAAAAATCTGAATATCTGCCTAGCATCTGCACATAATGTATGTTACATTTTTTTCTGTAATAAAATCTATCTATAAAGGAGCTAAATTCAAAAATGTTTTAAATTTTTTATCTGTTGTCAAATATGTCACCTTCTTCACTCACCTTCCGACTCTGGTATGAAGTTCTTTTCTTTTCATCATGAGAAATTATACCATATACCAGCCGTGTAAATTTCACTGCATCTTCTGCACAGACAAAATCATACGAAATATGTTTTATTTGTAGATGAAATTACGATTTTTTTATAAACAAATGCTAAGTAGTTAATTTTGCTGCACAGTTAACATGCTGTAGTATGTATGTGATCAAAAATTAAAAATAAATACGACAGCTTTTATAATGACGAGCTGTTTAGCCGAGTAACTAATTTCACAAGTAAAAAAAATGTGTACCTAGCATACACTTTTAATAACTAGCTACTTCTAAATTGACTAATAAATAAACTAATTAATATTAAATTTATGAAAATAATCAGTGCATAATGAAAACACAAAATTTTTACCCAATTATCCCGAAATTAGTATTCAGCTACCACAAGTAAAATAAAACTATCATGTGAAGTCTGCCGTTTTTCACGAGCTGATATAACCCGCATAGAAAACAACAAATGTATGTTCCTAAGCTGCACAAATGGTAGGTAGGTATTTCTTCATAATAATTTACATTTTTTTTAACACAAATAGAAGGTATGAAGAGGAATATGATTTTGTAGTTAAAAAAGAAGTATAATTTTACCCCAACATTAAAGTTCGCTAAACACTATTAGCTAACAATCAGATTCTACACCGTATTTAATTAGATAATTGTATTAAACATAGTACAATCATTTCAGCAAATCGGTAGTAGTTGTCGGAAAATTAGTAAACACGGAGTTATTATTCCGTATAAAACTAAGGAAACCCCAATGAAAGCAGTTTTAAAAATACATAGTATAAGTCAGAATTTCATTTGTAAAATTTTTAACTCGGAGGTATATCAACAACATTCTAATTTCATTACCAATCCAAGTTTTACTATACGTGTTTTTCAAAATCAAGAAAGTGGAACAATTTTTGACAATCAACAAAAATTTTGGAATATGGAAAGTTAAGTTCCGTCGTCAAGCTGAAAACATTGGCGTTTACATTTCTATCTGTTCTCAAAATATAAAGCCACGGATTTTATCTAGGACACCTGCATACGTATGATATACCAAACAAATTACAAAGAAATGATAAATCATAATGAGTGTGTGACATTCTTTTCCACATTTTTTCAGTTCATCTAGATTTTTGTTGCAGTCATAAAAAACATTCCTTACATGTTTGCCTACATTTTATCAACTCCGAAAGAATGCGCATTGTGATAACTGATAAAAATAAAATGATAGTACTATTTATAAACTCCACACGGCGAACACATAATCAATAAGGTACCTATTCTACACCATCCAGGTGTGTAGGAAGCATATAAACGATAAGCATGTAATAATCCTGTGTTACAGTGACAAGTGTTTAAATTTGTTTTAATACCTTCACAATTTATTTAAGCCTCGGTTAGTATGTATTTAATTATTACGCGTCAAACATACATAAAAATAGTAATTACAATTATTATTATTCCAAATCCGAGAGCTACACAGAAGTTACTACTTACATATTCAGAAAAAAATTCAGCGTCCAACTTTGTTCATTCACATAAGGAACACAAATCCTCAGTTTTGCGAGGCTCTATTATTGATCTCAAGTAACCGAAGGTTCCCGTTATATGCGCTTTATTCTCACATCAAGTTCATTAATTTCTCACACAATTAAATTTACCCTTGCAAAAATAAACGAATGTCCCATGTTTCACAAATGAGTGCTTACACAACATCTCGTGTCTATTTTCTATTCGGAATACGATAATTTGCTTTTAACGTCGTTTTGGTTACATTGCTGAAATGTAAAAATAAAATAAATTTATCCCTTACGCCCTAAGTAAACTCGTTATACAAACGGAAACGTTTCTTATGTAAATATATTTTATAAAGAAAGGTCTTTGAATAATTTAGTAGACACTAATTTACTCAAAAGATCTAGATATCATGAGGAAGGGCACGTGGATTAACCAATAAACAAGATCCAATCAAACAGTAAATATTGTATCACGTGGATATTTGATGTCGGATATAAACTTCATCATGACTCGGTGGACGGAATGCATACATGAAGGTTCTACAAGATTAGTGGTGTACATACTAATAGCAAATTAGCCCACAACCAAGTAACAAATTTCTTCATTGATGGGTCGATACCATCTGACTCTAATAAATTATGACACTACATTGAGATATAAAGCCGCAGACAAAACTTAACGGCAAATTGAATTCGCAACAATAGCAAACACTTGATTTATTAAAATTTTTAGACTTTAGTGTAGATTTGAACATTTACAGACATATAAGTGAGATTATGGTGTCAACCTAAATTTTTACCACATTAATAAAACAAATTATGGCTAAACCCATGCCTGTGTATAACTTATATTACAATGCACGAATCCTCTGAAAATAATGATACAAATGACGTTTCTTTGTCGTTAAATTTTGTCTCCCACTTTACATATATTTACTTACCTTTTTATATTTTTAAACTGCCAAAGAACCGGATGTTCATCTTCTACTCACAACACGTGAGTTGGAAAAACAAAAAAAATGTACTGAAACACACAAGTGCACAACCTGAATTCTTTAAAAATAAAAAAATTGGTTGAAAGTTATTTCGACAGAACTTCCCTCGCTTCTGGTTTCACCTTCTTTAATAAATTCACAGATTCATTAATTTTTTTTGGTCGCCCTGTATAAGCAAATTTAAAAAAAATTAATGCAATGATAAGTTACAAGTATAGTCTGATCATATTTTACACATTTTCGAAAAAATTTATTCGGCAAAATTTGATAAACAGATACATTTTAAAAAAACTTAATATGCTTACAATAACTTCACAACATCAAGATTTCAAAGTACATATTCAGTTTTGCAATTTTTGAATTAATCAATAAAATAAATTGACTCAGTCATTAATTTTTTCAGACACCCCGTAAAAACAAATATAAAAAATATTAATGCAGTGTTAGTTCAGCAAAATTTTGGGGCGGCGTCATCACATTTTCAGAGGGGATGAGCAAATACATTTTGATCAAAAATTTACCATGTCTATGATAACTCTAAAACATCTCCAAGATTTTAAAGCATTCATAAATCAATAAAATAAATTTACGTATTTATTAATTTTTTGAGTCACCCTGTATAAACAAGTCCAAAAAATATGAATGGAATGATAATAATAATCACAAGTGCAGACTCAGCCTATTTTGTACATTTTAGATAGGATAATTCAGCAAAATTTTGGGCTGACGTCATCAATTTTTCGGAGGGGATAAGTAAATATATTTTAATTAAAAATCTATCATTCTTATCATAACTGTAAACCATCTGCAAGATTTCAAAGCATTTGGTTTTGCAGATTCCAAATTAAATTGCAAAATGTTGTTTAAAAATTTTGATTTTTTTCCAAAAATCTGGACGTTTCGTAAAAATTCAATTCGGAGTCATAAACTACATGTGTAGGACTACGTTATTTTATACAATTTAAAACCCATTTACTACGTACAATTTTGAAGTGACGTCATCGCATTAGTGGTGGGGATGATTAAACAAATTTTGGTTAGCGTTTTACCATCTATGATATTCCTAATATAAATACAAAATTTGACAACAATCGACCCAGTACTTTCGGAGATTATCTGTCTAATAAAAATCCGGAACGGCAGACAGACGGACAGACGGACAGACAGACGGAAACGGAAG